AAAATTTGTAATAAATAAATGAAAAAAACGCTGTAAAATGTTGCCCCATTTAGCCGCTATGCCTAGGACTCTAGAATCTAGAGCGTGATGAACGACTCCTATAAACTGATTCGTTTTAGTGAATCATACACATACAATGAAGTACGATGGCCGAATGAATTATTCTTATGAGTCGATTCTTTATAGTGAATCAAAGACGCATCAGTCTGAGTTGTTACAGAATGAATCCGACTTATATATGAACCGAAAGTTATTACTTTCGTTATGTCTGACTGGAATTGAACCAAGAATTGAGACTTTTCATGATGTGAAACGTTATTTAAAATCTATGTAGGCCTACGTTATATGTACTTGAAATAATTGTATTATATGATTTTTTAATTTGCTATATCTGTTAAAATCTGAAACGATGTCATCAGTTGGCAACACACGGATGATGGTATAATTTAATAAGAAATTCTTATTATTATTCCAAATGTTTCATACTCAGAACTACTAAAAGAATCCGGAATCGTTGACAGGAATCGGGGAAAAAATTTAAATTCCTAACATTTCCCATTCCTTCTTGAAGGGTGAGTTTGGGAAAGCTCGCCAGATGGTTCAGGTCTATTTCAATACGAAATATCTACTCATCGTTGTGCTGTAACTTGCACTGAAATGCCTAAACTTTTGCGCAAAAGTACGATCGATGACTTAAAACTGGGCGTCCACTGGACGGCACCACTTCAACGACAGAGAAAGAGTGAGCTGTCATTGATCATGACCTGCAAACAGGACGCTTTCTTTCACAAAAAGCCTAGACATGTTCAAAAAAAGCATGATATAGGCCCTCGATTCTTAAAAGATTATTTTTAACATATTAATCTCAAACACTGAGCCGATCGATCCCTCTCCGTGCGTCAAATTCCCTTCATACAACGATGCACTAAAAACCAAGTCTTAAAGCTTATCCAGAATCATTCAGCGCCGTTTATAAATGTATTTCTTAATACATTTTAAATTTCGATCACGCTTAAGCAACTAGTTTAATGAGAGATGAAAACTTCTCAATGAAGCCTTACCGTGGGTTGTGGGGTGCTAGAGCTAGAGGAAGACTGAGCTGAGACAAAGATCCCTATTTTTCCGGTAGGAGTATATGAACAGTATGAATGTTGAAGTGGCGTCTGTCTGTTCTCCAGCACTAGATCCTGATGGAGCGTTTGTTTTATAGTAGAGGAAAGCCGCGCTCCCATTGGCTGCTATTTGCAGTCCATTCATCCCATTGGAAGAGCTTGAAATATGTAGTATAAAATGTGCAAATATATAATTATAAGAAAATGTAAGTTTAATTTAATTACGTTTATATCCTAATCAAGTAATTTCCATGCAATTGACTTCGAAAGTGTTTGACCTGTAAAAAAATATATGTAGTAGATTTAGATGAAAACAAACAACAATGTATAATGTGTGAAAGTCTTAGACATTTGTGTGGATGTGTATGTGTTGTTTGCCGTTTGTCACCCACAATATGAATTGTTTTTGCTTAAATGTGTCTTTAATAATGTTATTTATAATGCTAAATTATACACATTATAGTATGATTTAAAGGGGTCATATGATGCTGCTAAAAAGAACATTATGTTGTGTATTTGGTGTAATGAAATGTGTTTATGCGGTTTAAGGTTCAAAAAACACATTATTTTCCACATACTGTACAATATTGTTTCTCCTCTATGCCCCGCCTTTCTGAAACGCTTCGATTTTTACAAAGCTCATCGGTCTGAAAAAGCGAGGTGTGCTGTGATTGGCCAGCTATCCAGTGCGTTGTGACACATACCTAAAACGTGTGACGGAAATGTTATGCCCCTACCATACTGTGATGCCCTGTCCAGCCGGAGCGACGAGACAAAAACATTAAAACATTATAAACGAGGCATTTGTTGCATCCAGTGGGGACATAATTACGGATTATAATGACTTATACTGTCTTTTTAGTAAACATAAAACCATGTCTGCATTTGTGATCGGAGAAATGACAAACAACAAGCACTACTCTACACTGCTCAAAACTCCTGTTTTTATATTTAAATTCTTTAAATATAAAAAACATACTTACAGTCTGTGAGTCAGAACAGCTGGCATTGTAGTCTACTCTACCAGGATCAGGAAACAGTCCTCCATAAAATGTGCTGCACACATCTGAATATTTGGGTTAAACTGTTCTGGAACAGTGTTGTACATACAACTTAACCACTGATTTCTAGTTGTG